TGAGTTAACAAAAACAACCTTTTACTATTACTATTTTTACATTTGTTGTTACCACGTGCAATTGTAACGAGATGGACTATCACTGGACAAACGTAGAGCTTCAATTCTATACTCTATTTGTGACCTGAATGTGCTCACACACATTTTGAAGCCACCTTCCTGAAGTCTGCGGGACAAAACCCGCAGCGCCGTTAGGCTGGGCACCGGCATGCTGCAACTGTTGTTCCATGGAGTAGATGGAACATATTTTCCAAGAGATGGCATAAGGACACCGTGGTGGATCTCTGCTGCATTTGCTAACAGTGGTCTATCTAAATTAGTTGGGCAAAACTAGATGTGACTTACCCACGGACATGCGATGTTTTCACCTGTAGTTAATGTAGTCTTCTTGTTCCGAGTCGTAACGCCAAGAGCTACTTGTAGCATCCTTCCTAGCGTCCGACTCCTGCAATTGCGCCATGGTGGCCTGATCCAAGCCTTCTCCCGACGAAGGCGCCAGCTCACATTGCCAACCAACCAGACAGGGATACTATGAGGATTTCGTTCCTCACCTTGGAGACGCCTTTTTACACCGTCAGTGAGGCCTCCATCCGACAAGCGCGGAAGAAGAGTCAAGCCGAAATCGTTTGGGAAGATCTCGACGATGCTGTCGTTGCAGCTCGCAACACCGCAGTGTTGCAAGCGACGCAAGCACTGTGACGGGTCGCTGTGCGGTAGAAATCCAAGCTTGCGCCGCTGTGCACGGGTGCGGGGTCCGGGTGTCATTATGAAGTGGGATTCGTGTAAACGTTGCTGGGGAGGGCCCAACGTAGTAGGCGGGGGGGGCCCAAGCCTAGTACCTAGTCAGCCTAACCAGAAAGCGTTCAATGGCCAAATCCAGCTCTCAAGTAGAATTGTGGCAGGCGCAGGGGCAGGATGCTGTGCAGATTTCGTGGCGCCGGGGGGGGGGCAGAGCGCCCCCCAGGGCAATCAGAATTCGAATCCCCCCAAAGACACATACAATCATACCCCTTTTCACTTTTTGGTTACCTTTCGTCGGCGCCCCTGGCTGTGAACCGGCTCCGTCTCCAGCCACGTAATGCTACAGGCACGCAGCGGAACAAAAGCCGGCTTCGTTGCCTCTCTAATGTAGATTCGTATTCATATCCTTCCCCCCTGCAGGGTGGGGGCGCGCTGTAGTACTCACTCATTCTAAGAAAACTCACACCGGATCCCAATCCAACTCCCTGGCCATTGCCCGCCCACCTCTAAAGTTGATTCGTTGCAGGCGCCCTCCTTATATGTAGACAGCTGACACCCGAACCAAATCCAGCTTCCTGGCCAGCGCCCCTCCATCTCTCAAGTAGGTTCGTGGCAGGCGCAGGGGCGGGATGCTGTGCAGATTTCGTACCGCTGGGGGGGGGTTGGGGGGATCAGAATTCGAACCCTCCCAAAGACGCACACAAATCATACCCCTTTTCCCTTTCTGGCCCCTGCAGGGGGGGCGCGCCGTAGTACCCACTCATTCTAACCAGAAAATTGACAGCGGAGCCAAATCCAGCTTCGTGGCCCGTGCCCCTCCATCTCTAAAGTCGATCCGTGGTAGGCGCAGGGGCGGATGCTGTGCAGATTTGTGGTGGCGGGTGGGGGGGGCGGCCCCCTTTCGGCGATCAGAACTCGAATCCTCCGAAAGACACATACTGACATACACTCATACCCGTTTCCCTTTCTGGTTGCTTCTCTTCCGTGCCTGGTCGTCTACGTCACCTTCTCTTGGCACTTTTTTGGTTCCTGCACCACCCTGTCCCGCGCTCTTGGTTTGGACTTTACACGCCCTCTTCTCAGAATTCTACCTTTTCCAAAAGACGCAGAGAATCCTACCCCTCCCCGCCTTTCTGGGTCTTCTCTGCGCAGGGGGGCCAGTCAGCCTAGTACCCACTCAGTTTGACCAGAAACGCGACACCGAAACCAAGGCAGCTGTGCAGATTTCGTGGTTCTGGGGGGGTTGGGGGAGAGATGGAATCCTCCCAAAGACACATACAATCATACCCTGCTTCCCTCTCTGGTTACTTCTCTTCCGCGCCTGGTTGTCTACGTCACCGGGGGGCCCAGCCCAGTACCACTCAGTCTAACCGGATCCATATCCAGCTTCCTGGCCAGTACCCGATCTCTAAAGTGGACTCCTGGCAGGCGCAGGGGCGGGCTGCTGTGCAACCCTCCCCCATTCTTCTAATATTGCGCCCCCCCTTGAGACAATGGACCCCCCTCTTCTTCTGATATTCACCCCCCAAATTGAGATAAAACCCGCCCACCCATTGTTCTAGTAATCCCCCCACCGCCCCCGATTGAGACAACAACCCTCCCATTCTTCTTATTTCCACCCCTCATTGAGATAACAACACTCCGCAAATTATTCTCAGACCCTTACCTGAGAGAACAAACCCGCCCCCCCACTCTTTCTTCTACATAACTGGACGATCTACCGAAAGGGCTGGCTTCAAAGAACTGCCACCAAAGGTGGCAGTTCCAAAAGCAAGCTTGCACATGGCCATGATGCCCTCAGCTGGATCTGGGCCACTAGCAAGTGGCACCGCCGGTGGGCCGCAGCGGCCGAGACGATTGCCGCCTACATGGTCGCCCGCCAAGTGGTCCAATTCCCCTCCATTTTCAGGGAACAATAAAAACCCCCCCCAGTTCTTCTCAGACCCGGACCTGTGCAGACAATGATGATTGGGGGGGGTTTGTTATTGTTCTCGGGGGGGTGGCGCCATGGAGTCGAAGGACAATTCTTTCAACAATAATACTCCCCCCTTCATAAGAACATCCCCCGCAGCCCGCCTATCGGGCCGGCCTGGCGCCCATCGAGGCGCCTGGGCTGCGTGCCCTGCTGCAACGGAGCTCCTGGTGGTCGCAGGTCCGACATGAGGCAGAGATGCCGTCCGACATCGTCCGACGCACCGGGGTGGAATAGGGCCGGGGGTATGGAAGGTGGTTGACAAAGCTGATTCGTCGATTCGTGCAAAATTCCACCCAGACACACCAAGGAACATATCCCACCTCACTCGTTCAGTGGTTTCCGGCCTCTCGGCTGGCTGATCTCATGTATTGATATTTTCGATGACCGCTTGAATGATCAGCCTGGGAGGCGGTGCCGGACAGCCAGAGCCCTGGAGGGCAGAAGTAATATGAAATCGTGAGGGGCATCTATGATATATGTCTTGCCCATGGAAACTATGAGTAACATGTCTTGCCCATTCTAATCATGAGTAATATGTGCACATGGAAGCCGGGCCCGGCCCAGCTTCTTCTGTTTCTTTTGCCTGAGTCGTGAGTCGCTTATCATTCTTCCAGTTTGCACTTGTCGGCCTGCAAACTGGAATTCGGCAACTGCTGGTCTCGGCACATTTATGCTGTAGGGTCCGTAGCCATCAAATTGATTTTACGTAGCACATAGCATGAATATACATGAAGAATCCATTTTTCAAAACACATCTATATATTTATTCCGAATATGAAACTTTCTTAACTTTGTTTCATGTTATGCGCTTCGAGAATGCCACTCGCCCTATCCATCGGACTGCGGGTCGTCATTGCTTCAAGGTGGATTCTTGGAACGGCGTTTGGACACACTGAAGCTATGTTTGGAAGCTATGGAGAGCTGGAGCCTCAGAGAGGCATAAAAAGGCAGATCCAGAGTCTAGTTGCACAGGTAAGCTTGCTAGACTATGAGACTGTAGTTACTTTTGGTGCCTATTAAAATTTATATAGCAGTCTACGACGTAGCAGCTTGGCAAGTACTTCTAGTTGTAAATGTCGATGCTAGCCTCCCTGTTCATTATTGTCATAGCCGAGATACAAAAGTATTGCATATAAGACGGGATGAGCCCCAGTTTGATGAGTGAACACCCCCGTACAATCCCGCGATGTATCAATCCGGTTGTATACGCGGATGGGTCAACACCTGTTAGCATTTTGGGGATGATTAACATCCTCCAGCCATTGACCCGACTAACATCACCTGTGGGCATGTGGACTCCTCGCAGCTTTCTTCTCAGGTTGGGACCACGATGCTCCGCCAGCTGCTAGCTTGCTGAACAACCACGGCGAGTTAGGGCCTGAGGGGGGCTGCAGACCGGAGTGTCCCCAAAGGTGCTGGTCAAAGCGCATGCCTTCCCAAGAATGGGGCCACTGTGTTTGGTTTCTAGGCCAATATGCGGATTGCGGCCAGATGTTGGCTGAAGACATGCGAGGGATTTGATGGCCTCTTGATCCTCTTGGGGCATTTTGGGCCCCAGCAACAGGCGAGCCCTTTGGCCTCCAGCGGCCCAAGGACAGCTCTTCATTTTGCTGCCTCGGTGGATGACGCTGAGACATGTCGACTACTGATCCACTTCCAGGCCCAGCTGGACCACCCTGAGCCAGGGCACTTAGTCGCAGATTCTATGGGCACGCAAGCCACAAAGAAGATGATGATGGAAGTGCCAGCTGCCAGCTAGTCCCGATCTTTAGGCTTTGTTCATTCTCTTCCCCAAAAGTGCTGAAGGAACGGAACGTCAGACGGTCAGATGATCGCAGCCAGCGACCCCCGCGATGGCCAAGGTCTTTGGAGGGCCGGCTCGGTGGCCGAGAGAATCTTCCAAAAAAGGCCGTGGACAAGAAGCTGCTCAGAACTGGACGTTCAGAAAGCAGTAGCAAACATCGGCATCTCTGATGCTGTCAGCGGGACTAGCTTATGTAGCTTCGCCCACCCAAGTAGCGGCACTTAGCCAATCTTAAGCCGATCCCGTCTTTTGACGTACTTTTTTTTCCCGCTTTTTCGGGGGAACCACCTAGTAGCTTCTTGCTACTGGGATCGGCGGTGGTCCCCCCGAAAAGAAGTACGTCAAAGACGGGACATTCATCGGCGTCGCTTGGGATCCACGTCTCTTCACCGGAGACTGCCGAGTCTTTGCACTGAGGACTCCGCTCATGTGCGCTCTGCGGGCTGGGGCCTTCACAGTGGTGGGAGCCTCAGGGGGCGACTGCGCGCAACCGTGCACGGGGTGAGGGCCTCATTCCCCCCCAGCCAAAATCATCAGGTGGAGTTGGTGGCCATGTCCATGTCTATCAGTTTGCAGATGTTTGCAGTATTGAGTCAATATTGTTGTGTTGTTTTTTGGTGGTGTTCTTGGTGGGGACTGGAATGAATTAAAGAGCTGGACAAAAGGTAAGAAAAAGGTAATCACTAAAAGGTAAAATAAAGGTAGTGCAATCAATACTGAGTATTTGTTGTGGACAGCACCCAGTGTTTGGGATACCCTTCGAGTCCAGTTTGAGATTTTGTCTTGGGCCAACCGCGGCCAACCTTTGGAGTGATTTGTTCATGGCAGGCATGCTTTTTTGGCGACACTTGGAGCTCCATTTTAGGACAGGACACCTGTGCCATCTATATAATGCAGCTGGATTGATTCACACCTCCTGGAGCAGGCTTGCGGCTTGCGCGACCATCACGAGCAACTGCCCGTTCCCTTGCCGGCCTTGCCACGCCGTTTTGCCATGCCGGAGGCTGGTATCCCGTTTGATTGGGAGACCAGCGAGGCCAGTGAGGCTGGATGTTTCAGCCACCTCCGGTCCATGGGCCGAGCCGCGAGGGCATGGTGGATGGAGACCACGGACGACGTGCTGCTCAACAGCCCCTGGCTCCGGCGAAGCACCGGCGGCTGGTTTCGGTGCCTGTGGATCCTATTTCATGTCGTGCCATGGTGCACCGGCATTTACATGGAGAGTGTTCAACTTAGACAAGGTCCAGACAGGTTTCCAGCGAGCCTTTTAGTTCTGGCACTCTTGATGTTTGCCCGAGTGGTCTATTCTTCACTCACCAAACTCCGAGACACACTTCAAAGCAGTTTGCTGCTCTGCTTTGGGTCTTTGATCAGTTATGGCTGTTGGGACTATTTGCAGGTCGAGCCTCATGAGTTGTGGTTTGATCGCAGCACTTTTGTCGTCGGCTTTCTGGGACAAGCCTTCCCGACTCTATGCCACTGCAATGTGCACCCGGTGGCTCTCGTTCTGTTGCTGGCTTACACCGTGGCGTACTTGTGGCATGATTTTGACCTGCATGGTGCGCGACCGGTCACGTTCAGGTTATTGCATATTTTGGGCTTTCAGTGCTGCATGTGCTATGCCTTCACGAGGGACTTCACACATCGCGTCAAGGCCGTGTCGACCGGGATGCTCGAAGGTGCCAGCTCTGATCCATTGCAAAGTCCAGTGGCAGGACGTTCTGCTCGCACATTCTGCTGGCTCACCGGTGTCAACAATTGGATTTTTTTGATGCTTACTTGTATCACATTCTACTTGACTCAGGAGATAAGCTTCATGCTTTTTGACGGAGTTTTGTTCTGCGTGCCGTGGATAGCTTTGATGTTTGTAAGGCGTGGAGCATGTACACCATTTCAATCCGATTTGGCATTGTGTGTATTTTGCAATGCGGGTCCAGCATGGGCGATGCTCCGTCCGTTGCCGTATGATTATACGCTGGCGGGGCTTGGCGAAATCAGCGGATTTGGATTTGTCAGGCTGAGCTTCTACCTTTACTATACTTCAATTGGTTGCACCTCCTACGTCTTCGCCACACAGGCTGCCATACAAGCAGGCTGCCATCCATCAATTTCTTTGGGAACCTCCGCAGTCATGACGGTGTTTTTCCTCGTTGAAGTGCTGCAGTGCAACCTTTGCTTGCAACTTGCTTGGGACTTTGGTCAAGTGGCTGAGGTTGCTCTGAGCTTAGTGTCTTGGCTTCACAGTTCGATTCTGTCCCACATCCTCCCGCTTCGCGCGATTGCCGCTAAATTTATTGACGACGATATTATATACACCTCTTCAAAACTGCCAATGAAAACTCACCCAAACGATTATGTAGAAGACGGACCTTTGCTCAAGAGCACTCAGAAGATAGGCAGGCGCAATCATGTGAGGAAGCTGCTGCCACCAAAGGCAGAGAGGCATTTGCGATCTTCAAGTGCACACCTTCTAAAACCATGCCAGGAAAAGACCGCCCTGAAATCTCCATGTCGACAATCTCTTCCGTTGCTTTTCGCTGCATGGCCTCGGATTGAAGCCGGTGAGTGGATGCCCCAAATCCTCCATGATGGATTTGCATCTTCCTTCAAGCTTTGAGGTTCTCGTGCCCTGGACAGGCTTTGCGGTTCACTACACCCAAAACATCCAGGGAATTTGCCGAAGAGTGCATTTAGTGCGTTCTCCTCCAAAGCAGCACATACTCCCAGCAGCTTGCACTAAAGAGGGAGAGTAAAGAGATCACGATCCCAAGCAGACAGTGGAAGTGGAAGGATCAGTGGTTGGGGGTGGAAAAAAGGCCATGAGCATATGATTTGCCTGAAATGAGAGTTATGATTTCGACAAACCTTCACTGGAAAGTGTTGCACACGCGAAAAACGACATCGAATCCGTTTACTGCACCTCCGTGTTTCCTTGCACGCTCTTAACTTAGCAGCGGATTGTGCGGATCTAAATTGAGGCAAACTATCATGCGCATCAACGCCTACCTTCTAGCAGCTGACCTTCCTACACCTCACAGAATCCGCCAGACACGCCAAGTCGGCGCCCGGCGCAAATTGGCGAAAGTGAGACAGAAGGTAGTTGAAGGTCGAACACACAGAAGGAGTGAAAGAGAAAGAAAGGAGTGCGTGGCACTGTGAAGTCCATTCACCGAAGCTCTATCTCTCTCCGCCAGAAGAAACACTGATTGAACATGAGCAGGGCACAGGGAGTCTTGCGCTGTCATTCGTTTCCATTCCCCCCACTTGAGTGCTGGCGGCCGTGCTGCACTTGGTTCCGCGCGTGTAACGGTGAGTGACATGCACTTGTTCCGTGCTGAGTTCCCAGCTGTGTTTTGGTTGGTGTATCTGTTTTCTGCTTTGCATTTGAATTGGACTCGTGCTTAGGACCTCTCGACCCAAGGTGACGGGGAATGGCCTAATTGGTGTCAGATCACCAAAGGTAGCCTCAGCTACCTAAGTTCTCCTTGCTTTAGCAAAATGGTTTTGGGGGTGGTGGAAGTCTATGCTGCTGGTGCTTGCTGCTTGTGCTGCTTGCTCCTCTTCAGAATCTTCCTAGCTCTACCTTTGGTCCACCTCCATCGTCTCAAGTTATGGGCCTTTTTCATTCCAGGTAATTGTGATCCATTTGCGCATCCAAAGCAGTACAAGAGAGTATATATATATATATACAAATGCATCCACATACAGATCGGAAGACAAAAACATTACAGACAAGCATGATGCATCTGGTATATTGATTAGTTTACACCCCTGTGGCCCAAGATCGTTGATCGATATTCCTTCATCGATCCCGCGAATTTGTAGGTTCTTGCGGTGAACCATTCGGTCGACTTCACCCAGCGCTTGCGGGCGATCAGCGCTGGGCTGGAGCAAAGCGCCCAGAACGCCGCCTCCTCGCTACAGGCCGGCGCTGGGCTCGCGCGTGTGGCGTTGGGGGTGCGAGCTCGGTGAAGCGACGGTCCGGTCATCACCATGACAGATAGCAGTGACGCTGCAAACAAGGTTTGATACCACATCGAGCAGGTACGTTTGTTGGTCCCATTAGCTGGGCCTTCATCATTTGTTTTCTGGAGCTGGCTGGTGGTTTGCGCAGTCTCTCAGTTCAGTTCTGACACTGACAGACTACCAACCTATTAATGAATCCGCGGAGGACTGTCACTTCCTCCTTGTGTTTCTGCCCAGAACCTCGACAATCTGTCCTACTCGGTCCTACTCCTTCTAACACCCTCCAGTTCAACACCCTCCAGACAGCACACTGGTTTCACTTCAAAGTTTAACGACACCACCGAAAGGGGGAGTTTGCCAAACTGTGGGAGGGTCTAAATTGTTGGCACCCTTTTGGTATTCCAAAAACGATCTTCACGATGGTGTGGGTTCTTCCACGATCTTCCAAAACGGCCGCCCATCCTCCAGGTCTTGCGCAGCCACGAGCGCCTAGGCTTGGAGCTCTTGGACCTGGCCTCTCCACCGCCCCCGCCGCCGGGGGCTGCGCCGCGCCCGGTGGCGCGCCGCACGTCGATGTGGTTCGCCGCCCCCGCGCAGGGCGCTTGGACCAGTCGCGTGAGTGAGACGGAGAGCTGCAGCAGCCGTCAGACAGAGATCTTTCGGGATCCGGGGCGCATGCCCCACAGCCCGGTGCGGAGGAACTCCGATAGCCCTATGTGACGTCGAAAAGAAGGGAAGGAAGGCGCATGAAGGCGCCAACTAAGAAAAAGAGGTTATTTGAAATCAAGTTTAGGATCTTTGGATTCTTTGGGGGCTGCCGGTGTTACGACACATGGTTATAACCCATTCGATGAGGGTGAACACATGGCTAGCGGGCGACACCGGAGCCGTGCGAAGAGCACTGACAAGAGCCATGCCGTCTCCAGGTGCGGTGCTTGCTGGATGCATTGGCAGCAGAATCCTTAGGACCCTTAGGAGGATCGATCTTCCAATGGCAGTGCTCGTTTTTTTAAAATCACTTTTTTTCTCTACGGTTTCTATTTTTCCTTGGGAGATATTACGTATGAGATATGTTCATGTGGAGAAGTTGCGTGACTTGGTGCTCATGGTTGGAAGGGAACAAAGACTGTAAGTGGCAGAAAGATTCGCATGGCACAAAGCACCTGGTATATTGGAGTGCTGAGGATCCCAATCAAGCAGATACTAGTGGAGGGCTGGGACCTGAGTGGGAAACAAGTTCCGAGTTGGCAACTTGTTGAACTGCCTCACAACATAGCTTTTGGCCCAGTGCTTTTGAGGACAGCTTTTGGAAGCCCTGTGGATTGGACCAGTGGGTCCGAAGGATTCGCTTCTTTTCCAGGCCAGCGCTCCACTACGCTGCGTCGCGTGGCGACTCTGCGGTGAAAGATGCCGCGGAGTTGCTGAAGAGACGTGCGGAGGCCGTTGTGGAACGTGTGAAGATCTGGGGGCAGGATGATAGAAGTTTCCTTGATTGTTTCGAAGGTTGGGGCTTATGAAAGGCATACCAGGGCAGATCAAGGGGCACAAGAATGATTTGTTCTGGGACACATGTCGTGCATTCTCATGAGCACAGCACTCGCTGGTGTTCCTAGGGCCAGGTTGATTCTGTCAGTCTCCGCATCCATCGGCCTCCCGAACGCATGCGCTTCTGATACTATCAATGCCAAAGGGAATCTACATCCATCTACGCTACGACGTGGCCGCTGTGGGTAAAACGAGGCCAATGCAGTGGATGGCCAAGGAGCCACAGCCCTGGCGCCCGGGTGACCTGGCGCTCCCTTGCAGCGTGGGTCGAACGCTGAAGAGTGACAATGCCTCCGCAGCCAGATAGGACATGAAAATCCTTCTCAGCTTCGTAGCCCCAAATCCTATTTTTTCATCAGATTTTCCCATCTAAGGACTGATGGGAAAGCCGGTGATGGCTCAAAGGAGCTTGGGGTTTTGTCCAAGGCAGGACCGCCCCAGGGGCTCCAGAGTCGGCAGAGCTGAGGCGCGCAGCGAGCGCTGGTGCCCCAGAGATGGTGCGCTTCCTCCTGCGCCGAGGCGCAGTGGAAGCGGAGCCTGCTGGGTTCGACTGGGTTGCTTCGCAGAAGGAAGCGCTGCAACCGCAAGCATTGCCCAGTTGGGGTTTGCCATCGGTTGGTGTTGATTTTGAGCTCATGTTATGATTGTTATGAATGTAATGTTTTCATAAGGGTTTGTATTTTTGCAACATGTCTGGTTTATGTAGAGTTGGGATGTTCGACGTAGGCAAAGCATTACCCAGAAGCATAACCTTTGCTTAAGAATACCCCCAAGCATACCCCCGAAGCATATCGCATTGCCAAACATCCCGGGAACGTAAGAACAATGCGCACTCATATGTCTTACATATTTTATAACATGTTTTGCTGAATTGTCGATGAGGGCTCTTTATAATTCCTCCTAAAACTTCTCTTGCCCACCCAAATATTCGAGGCTTTGCCCTTCACCACTTGGTAATGTGAACGCGAGCAAATGGGGGGCGCTTCTTATTTTTTGGGCCATTTCGCACATATGCGTTTTTGCTATGGCACATGGTTGCTTCCAAGCCAACAAAACATGGGGGAGCTGCTGCGTCACGAGAACGCTCCGCAGGTGCCAAGCCTCAAAGCTGCCGGCCTCTTTTGTCCCTTGGCGCGTCGACCGAGGGATGTCCCACCACCCGTACCGGTGGCTCGCTGGGTAGCTGTTTTGGGTTGGAAAAGGTTGGGGCATGGCAGACAGAACCTAGGCTTGACGGCGAGCATTTTTTCAGAGACTAACCCATGCTGGCCCAGACAACAATAGACAACACAACCCTGCAAGTTCCGCTAAGAGGGCCGGCAGACCCATGCGCAGTGATCACTGGACCTAGAGCACGCCAGTATGGTCTTGACCCACCCGCAGAAGGGGATAATCGATATTTCTCAATCTTATCGTTCGTTCCCACCCAAATGTGGCCGAGTCAATGGTTGGTCAATTGGGCACTGGTCGGTTTGGCTGAAGCCGGGGGGCATGTTGTTCCAACTGAATTGCAGCTCGGCAACCTACAGAGTTTGTCCTTGGAGTTTGCCCACAACAATTGCCGTGTTGAGATGCATGATCCACATCAATGATATTCCATGATAATCCATGCCATATTTGCCAATGACAAGACATTCTCAATCTACTGTCATTGTTATTTGTGTGTGTATCCGATTGTCCATGATAATCTGTGAGCCTTGGCCTTCGGCTGTGCCAACTTCCGGACCAAGCAGAAAACGAAGCGCCACCCGCCAAGGCCACAGATCGCACACCCAGCCACTCGAGAGATCCTCCTGGCCGTGTTGTGAAAAAGACCTTTGGGGTGAGGTCACAGTCATGGTTTGGTTGCGGCCGGATGCGATAGTGTTTGGGTTCAATCATTCACGTGAGTGGTCGAGTCTGGCGAGTTCGAATTGATTCGAAGTGGAATTCAGGTGTTTATTGTGGGATCAAAGAATTCAGAGAGAATTAGTCAATGGCGAGGGGAGTAGGATACTCATGAGTCATAAGGATCGCCATGCCCAATGAGTCTTTGATGGGAGAGGTCCAGTTGGAGGTAGGCAGGTGTGGCAGAAACTTGGGTTTTCTAAGGAGGGCTCGCCCAGGTATAACATCAGGAGTGGCAGGTGTCAATCAGAAATCTCATCAAGTCAATGGAAAATGCCTTGAAACAGTTGCAGGTACACAGAGCTGATCAGGTAGGTGGCATGTTTTTGAAGCAGCTGCAGGTACACAGAGCTGATCAGGTCGGTGGCATGTTTTTTGACACAGCTGCAGGTACACAGAGCTGATCAGACTGGGGTCCTTGCAGGTGTTTGCAAAAGGCATGCAGGTACACAGAGCTGAACAGGATTGAAGTCTTTCCTGCGTTGCCTTTCTTGTTGCTTTCTTTCCTTCATTCCTGACATCTTCGTGGCAACACCCTGGTCCTCCTCATCTTCAAGAACCATCCTCATAATGGTCGTCATCAGAATCATCAACATCATCCTGATCATCATCATACCCATCAGCACCATCATGACCACTCACAAACTCATCTAGAAGAACTGACTTACTTCTGGTATGGGGGATCGCTTTTTCTCCCTTTACATCTCACTCTCCCCAAGCGCTGCTGCGTACCCGAAGCAAGTCTGAAGCGCAGCCATAAAAACTGTGTCTTCACAACAAAGTCACAGTGACACTGCAAAATATGAACTGAGACTCGACAGCAAACCCTGAAATCTCCAACGATTAGTTTGACGCAGGCTGCAGTTGGCTAAATCGGACCCGGGCGCCCAGCTGCGAATCAGCAGGCTTGCGGTAGAGAAGTCATAGATTAAAACAAAAGGTGATCAACCTAAACTGTTATTTTTTTTGGTAGTGGAGGGACCTCAAAATCCTTAATTCAGAGCCGGGCGCCCAGCTCCGAAACACGGGTTGTAGGGCGCCGCGTGTCAGTGTTTGAAACCCCTGTGGGTGAAAACGACGATGGGTTTTCTTAAGGTCTGCCACTTCTCCAACTTTAGAATTATAGAGTTTGCTTGAGGCACTTCTCCAACTGTGGAGAACCGCCGGGCGCTTTGTCCGCACGCGCTCCTACGGGTCCGGCGCGAAGTCTCGGTCCACGCCCGTGTCCGTGCTCTGTGTCTTGGTCCGTGCTCACGGTGCTCTGTGTCCGTGCTCTGAGAGATCGGTGTCAAGACATTGGTGCGCTTGCGCTTGAAAGAAAAGAAAAGAAAGAAACAATTAATTAAAAGGGAGTAAGAAAGAAAGAAAGAAAGACCAAACAAGGGTCAAAAGGCCTTATAGAAAGAGAGAAAGACATCTTCCTTCTTGCTTCCTTCCTCTTCTTTCTTGCTTGCTTGCTCGCTGCTTTCTTTTTTTCTTTCTTGTTTGCTTTCTTTCATTCCTTCCTTCTTTCCTTCTTTGCTTCTTTCCTTCTTTCTTCCTTCCTTGCTTGCTTCCTTCCTTCAGCCAGGGTGTCAATGTCCCTTTTGGGTTGTTTAGGTGCAGTGCCATTCAAGGTTTGAAGAAACAATTTAATTTTGTTGTTCCTCAGCGCGCTCTCCTCAGAAAACACAAGGAAAGGCCAACAGTTTGGTGGAGCCACCTTTGTGGAGCTCAGTAGATCCAAAAAAATCAAGAGTAATAGCATCTCCTGAGGGTATGGATTTCGTGTGGGTTTCCACACTCCACCGAAAAATCGTCCTCACTGCCGCTGTCAAACTTTTCTTCGCTGCAAGCCAGACTTCGCCAGCATAGTTGGATGCAGAATCCACTTCATGGACATCTGACATTTGTAGCAGAGGATGGCGGAGGCAGATTCTGCCTGAGTGAACACATCCACGACACTGATCAGGATTAGGAGTATAGCGGGATATAGCGGGCCCTTGCGGCACCACTTTTACACATGCATTCAGCATCCTCTTCCAGAGAAAGCATGAGAAAACACACATTTTCCAGTTTCAAACTTGAACCAACATTGCTGCATACTGCATACATTCCCCAGTTCGAAAGAAACTGGAAATGGATTGCATGTGCAAAGACGTTCTCCACTGAACCCGGCGCCTGGATGGCAGCTTTTGTGGCTCTTTCCGCTGCTCAGGCCATGCCCGCGGTGTGTCTTGAAGTGGCTCATGCAAAAACCAACCCAGCATAGTAGCAGCACCATCTTCCAAAGCCGCGACTGGGTTTGCTATGGTGTGGGGCACTTCGAACATTTGGCTGAAGCCAGAATTTGCGTGTGTGTGTGTGTGTGTAACCCTTGGAATCATAGGGATCCTTTCGGATTGTTTTGAGCGTTTAGCAGGGGGGCTGGTTGTTCATGCAAGTACCAGCCCAACGAAGAGGCTTGCATTGAACACTGATATCGGTGGGGACGCTCACCGACGTACCTGCAATCTTCCATTTTTCCGTATGGCGTGAGGCTAAGCCAAGAACCTCATTGAACTTGGCTTTTCTGCACGTACGTCGTCACCTTGTCGTCCGCTCGATCGATGCTTTTCTTTTGGAGTTGCTGGCCACCTGAAACCTTTGAGACCTCCGCTGGAAGGACCTCCACTTCCTTTTTAGGCTTCCGTACCTGTACTCTTAGGACATGGAACCCTAGGCCGGCGTGTGGCACCGCATTCACATCAGTACGCATATCCATGAGTGTGTTTGGCTTCGTGCCAACCCGGGATGAGCCCGCAGAGTGCCTCCCGTGGACCCGTCGAACGGGTGTACGTCCCTGTTTCCTTTGCTCTGGAAACGTACGTGCCCACAGCGGGCAGCAGTTGGCTAATGCCGTACGTCGGATGATTTATGTCTCATTTTTGGAATTCCAAGCTGGCTTATGCCTTCACGTGACCGCAGCGGTCAAAGGTGGCAGCCTTCGGGCAAGCCGTACGTGGTCGCAGCGACCAAAGCTTGTTCAAGGTTCTTTGGAACCTGTTGGAGCCTTAGGTGCACATACATCGTACACACTTCAACGAGGCAGGTCTTCCTAGGTTGCTGTAATGAGGTTTGGTTTCATCGGTTCCCGTCCCCTCCATTTGGTTCCCCTTTCACCTTTTCCCCTTCACACGCACTTCTTTTCCTCTTTCTTTTCATGTCTTCCCTTGCTTCATGTCCGTTCATCTCACTCCTTTCGTTCTTTTGCGCGTACAATGGTCCGGGCCTTAGTGTGTACGCGCACATCTACTTTCAACTCAGGTGTTAGGTCGCCCAGGTCTCGACAATGAGGTGGGCTCATCGGTTGTCCCTGTGCACTTGGTTTCCCTTTCATTGCAACCACACACCCTTTTGTCCTGTCTGTCTTCCTTTTCATGTCTTCATCCTTTTGTCCTTTCTGCGCGCACATTGGCACATTCGTCCTAGCCTTAATTTTGCCTCCCCTTGGGGAGGCGTGTGTGTGTAACCCTTGGAATCATAGGGATCCTTTCGGATTGTTTTGAGCGTTTAGCAGGGGGGGCTGGTTGTTCATGCAAGTACCAGCCCAACGAAGAGGCTTGCATTGAACACTGATATCGGTGGGGACGCTCACCGACGTACCTGCAATCTTCCATTTTTCCGTATGGCGTGAGGCTAAGCCAAGAACCTCATTGAACTTGGCTTTTCTGCACGTACGTCGTCACCTTGTCGTCCGCTCGATCGATGCTTTTCTTTTGGAATTGCTGGCCACCTGAAACCTTTGAGACCTCCGCTGGAAGGACCTCCACTTCCTTTTTAGGCTTCCGTACCTGTACTCTTAGGACATGGAACCCTAGGCCGGCGTGTGGCACCGCATTCACATCAGTACGCATATCCATGAGTGTGTGTGTTGTGTGTTTTCTTTTGTTTGTTTTTTCCTCTCTCTCTCTCGGGCTTTGAGCGGAAGCGACATCCGTGGAACCCTGTCTCGGCTCGAAGGGGGTGAGAGGGCCGTATGGCAGCCCTCCAAGGGTTTGCAGGTCATCAAGTCATGAATGTATCATGTCGCAACCGTGTCACATTCGGACAGGAACAATGCCGGGGATTCTGCAGAAGAATGGGCTAACAATGCCTCCAAAACATTGTCCGTTGCATTTTTCTGTAGCACGGGTCAAGCTCGCCATGTGGTCGTGGGGCCAAGTGGAGAAGAAGTTCCTTGGATTGGTGCAATGCACTTTAGAGTTGCAACCGCTCTCGTCAGCTGCCTGTATTTTGTGACGGAACTTAAAGACACTTTTTGGGCCAGACGGTCTTTTGATCTGCACATCGAGGTTCTCCAAGCCGCTTCTGCCGCTGTCGTCGGCACCGCCGTCTGCAGCGCAGTCTGCAGCGCCCTTGGCCGCGGCCAGTTTGGTTGTTTTGTCGCTCGACTTGAACATCGGACCTGGCTTGAGGCAAATGTTGAACCTGCTGACATTTGTTGTTGACCCAGTGGATCTTGGGGATTTCTTTGACTTCATTACCTAGCTGAAGCGAGCTTGCCTGATGGACCTGGCAAAGCAACAGCATACCTACGATACATCAAATCAAATTTTATGTGTGGCTGCATGCTCCAAAATCACCCCCTAGCTTCATGTCCTTTTCTGGACTTAAGAGACCTTCTGCATCTTGGACCCCACCTCTGCTGCTCCACCACGCGCAGTTCAGGTTAGTGGGCTGGATGTCTCCGCAGTATGCCGAGGAGCTCGGAGCCTTTCAGCTTAAAGATTACTTGTCCAGCTCGCCGCTGAGTGCCGCCCTGGTGGTCCAAAGCTCCTGGGCGCTGTGCCTCGGCGTCGAAAGCCATTGAAATCAGTGCTGCCATCCATTTCAAGACCGTATAGCCAGTGATGTTACTTTGAACTTCCAGTGACTCAATCTTCCAAGCTATAGCCTGTAGCTGATCTCAGAATTCTCAGATTTCCGCCGCCCCACCCCATGTAGAAAATATATCGCCGCACATAAATACGCTATGCCATGCTATGCCGTATGTTGTCCCTTGAAAGAACCGATGGTCTTTCGTCCCCACTATTTGTTTTAGATGTTTTAGTAATACTGTACTGATGTCGGAAGGTTGGCCTTGGTCCCAGTGAAGAATGGGACGAACTGGTGCCGCCTGCCGAGCCGAACTGGGCACACGTGGCTGCTGGCGCTCTTTTTGGCCGTGCTCTCCGTTGCCACGCACGCCATGTGGTACAAGTCCTTCACTGGAACCACACCGGCCATCAACACTTTGGTGCCCGGGTGAAGGTTTTTCGACATCGACACGTTCAGCACCAGGGACGGCGACCGGTTTTTGGGGGCAACGCGCACGGTGTGCAGTTTTGCGAGCTTCACATGCATCCGGAGCTTTCCCACCTGAGGTCTGGAACTTGGACATCGTAGCCGCCTTGGTCCTGGAGGCCCTTGTGGCGTGGAAACCGCCCAAGTCCTCCGCTGTGCTGGGCAGTTTCCTCACCTTGTTGGGCGCCTTCTTAGCGGTGCGCTCGGGAATGGCAGGACTCAAAAAAGGGTGCCCTATTTCGCCGCTTCTTTCAAAGATCGCCGGGTGTTGTGTGGGTCGGGTCTATTTTGGTCTGCTTGCGCAGGAAACACGATGTGGGGTTGCGCCCTATGCCTCTTTGCAACAGTTCAATATTCTCTCTGTGCGATCATGACCGCCGAACTTCTGATGGATTGCCCACTTACAACGCTGCTGGCGTTGGAAGGAGTCATGAGTCTATTCACATTGTTGGGAGTCTTAGCCATGACCACACTTCTCGGATCACCGTGGCCCGTCTTTCCGAGTTGGTCAGCGACGATGTTCATGGCGGTGGCCAACATGATGTTGAATTTCGGGTGGTTGTCCTTCACCGTGCTCATGGGCGCAGCACAAGCAGCACTGGCGGCCTGCCTCTCAATGCCCATTTCCTTGCTTTTGGATGAGCTTTTGCTCCATTCCTGGGCGAACCCGCTGGAGGCGGTGGCATCACACCTCATTCGGTTCTTTGAGCCGGTTTCATGGTGTGGGGATTGCTGACTTGCATCGTCCAAGTGTGTTCCAGAAACCGTTGGTCATGTTAAAATGCTGCCATGTGGCCTCCATGGACAGGTGCTGGGCAGCCTTCTGGCAATTTTCGGCTTCATCGTGAGCCTTCGTCCCCGTGGCCGCACCCGAACAGATGTGGTGAAGCTTGAGGCGTGGGCTGGACAAGTTGTGTTCCCAAATCGTCCTCAAGAAACACTTTAGAGGATTGTGTTGGTGAGGAAAGGAATTGCCAAGAGCCGCTCTTTTGGGGTTTTGTGACCCTGGTGAATTGATGTGAATTGAATTGGTTTTGCCCTGTGTGGAACCAAAAGTGTGGCAGGCCCAGTGCTTTGTGGAAGTCCCAGACTGTACCAGATGCGTGGGATGAGTGGATTTTGACCAACAAAGCTTCTCAAAGCCTGCAGACTTTGAGATCTTTAGGGTTTGGACTCGATCCTGGGATGATTGTAATTCGCTTCAGAGGTTTGGCTCTGCATTTCTTGCCTCCACTTCTTTGGGGACGCAGCGCGCTCCTCAGAACTCCCGCCTTTTTGGGGAGTTGAAAGTAGCGCTGCGCAGCGCCCGCGTGGGTGGCCCAGGTTGAAGCCTGCTTGCAATGGCAACGGACAAAAAAAATCCTGTATATATATGACTTGCGCCTCGCTTTTAAAGGTGAACACCCAGTTTTTATGAATCCCGCAGCGTCTCGGCTCTGCGGATACATGGCACACGAGTTTCTCACTTGCTCGTGTGCCTTGTGTCTGAGCTTTAGACGCACGTATAGCCTCCTGTACAACCAGGAGGCCACAGGAGCGCTGCAGCAGCGAGGGATCGACCTTCTTCGCGTGTTGCACGCACAGCTCCTGGACTTCGCTGAGGGAGGAGAGGGAGCTGCCACTCCCGGACCTCCCGTTGAACAGAAGGGAAAACCGGTGATCAAGGAAGAGCCCAAACCAGAGGAGGACAAGAGAGAAGGTGATCAAGGAGCAGCCCCCGTGGTCGTGCCTGAGGAGAAGGACGAAGAGAGCCCCAGTGGTGAACGACGTGGAGAAGAAGAACCAGGACCGTCGCACAAGGAGCCAGGAGAGCGTGGTTCAGCAGCCGAGGAAGTCGCCCCGAGCAGGAAGGAACGAAAGAGAAGCTCCAGAGACCCAGACCGAAGTCGTAGACGTCGGAGAGACAAAGAACACAACGACGAGGAGGGAGCCAAGCGTCGCTCCCGTAGTCATCGCAGAGAGAGGAGAACAAAGAAGTCCAGCCCAGCCCAGAGTCCAAAACCAGAGCGCCGGGCAAGCCCTTCATACTCCCGAAAAGAGAAAGGGGAGCGAAAAAAGGACCGGAAGTCACCCCGGTCTCCAAGTGCGAGTCCACGGGCATCCCCCAGCCGTGGACCCCTGCCATCCCGTGCATCAGGCCTCACAAACGCCCAGAAGCGGGCCATCCCACCACCGCCCAAGCCGCCTCCAGTTCCAGGTCCAAGAGAGCCGGACCATCCACCCCCAGGGTATCAGAGTTGGGCCGATACAGACGTTCGGTCCAAGTCGTGGGCTTACCGTGAGCCACCCCCGAACAAAGGCCGCAAGAAGGACGAGCGCACCAACTTTCGCCTTTGGAGAGAGTACGAAAGAGGCTACTATTGAGAGGCATGCCTCCTCGACGGAGGCCAGCTGCCGGGCCCATGGCCCCTCGAGGAGGAGCTCTTCGAAGACCAATGAGAGAGGTGTTGCGCAGGCCAGCCCGGGGGGAGGCTCCCTTGTCTCCCGAGTTGAAGGAGGTCGAATGGGTTGCATTGAGCAAGATTAAGATTACATTCAGTGCCTTGAACCTGAAGCAGAAGGTCGTGCTAGAAGGACGGTACTGGGAGTCTCCCGTATTGATAGCAGGGGAGACGCGTGGTGTTGTGGTGAACGAGGGGGACGCGACTTGGCGGATCTGGGTCACCGGAACGCAGAGCGAGTCATTGTTGAGAGAAGTCGGAGGTCGTTGCAAGGAGTTGAGGATTCATGTGTGCCCAGACCCGTGCGATCGGCTGGTATGGGCAAAGGACCTGATCCACGGCCTCCGCTACCACGTACAAGAAGGCACCCCGGAGGAGTGGTGGAGCAACTTGGAAGAAGTTCCTCGAGGGGGCGGAGCCGTCAGAGAGGAGGATCCTTTGGCTCGACTGCGCGAGGAGATGGTCGAGAGGGAGCGAGAGGGGGAGGTCACTTATTCTCCCGAGGCAGCGAACCCTCCCGGAAAGAGGGAGGAGAAAGTCGAAGAGAAGCCAGCGAAAAAAGGAAAGAAGAGGAAGGCCAGAGTGAAGGTTCAGCTCGAGGCACCCGTCAAGGAGGTCTTCAAGAATACAGCCTTGGACCCCGAGATGGAGGTGAGGCACGAGTTGATGCGGAAGGCCCGTCGCATTCGAAAAGGAAAGAAAAAGAAGAAGAAAAGCTCCCGCTCACGCAGCAAAGGCTCTTCGAAGGACGAGACGGAAGATTCCAGCGAGAGTTCAAGCTTGGGAGAGAAGCAGATCGCAACCTCAGAGCTCTTCGAGAGCGAACGGCGGTCACTACGGTTGTGGCGTCGCGTGCCAGGAGCGTTGACGCAGGCAGCTATTCTGGACATGCAAGATCAGATGATGACCGCCCAAGGTTACGTGAACCAGCCTGTCACGGGGGGAGCAGTGGCTCCCGTGGTGGTCCAGTACTTCCGTGCGCACTTGCAACCACACATGGGGGTTGCTCTCGCACGGGAGTCCTTGCACCTCGCCACCATCCTGGATCTGAGCTTGCGTGGCCGCATCGCGGCCGCGCTAGATGTTGTCAGCCAACGGCTAAAAGCATTAGAGGCCATGGCCAGAGGTACAAACATCGACATAGCCAGAAGACTGGAGCTGGTGGGAGCAGATCGTCCAAGCTTGCTGACCGCTCCCGAGGCAGGAGAGGCAGGGCGAGAGCACCAGGCAGAAGATCGCATCTTGAAGAGAAACACCGGGCGATGGCAATGGGAAGAGAAGGATTCCTACAAAGGTGGCAAAGGAAAAGAGAAAGGGAAGCGAGACAAAGGCAAGGGCGAGGGCAAGTTCAAGGACAAGGGCTATCGAAAAGGAGAAGGCAAGAAGAAGGAGGAAAAGACAGACAGGGACTGAGGAGCTTGAAGAAGAGGTTGAAAAGGGGAGAGACAAGTCAGCAAGTGCGTACTCTCCCGAGGGGCATTGACAGTGTTGAGAGGCACACCGAGGGCAACATTGGGCTTGAAGTGTTTCACAAGGGGCCGGAGGTCCCTACGGCTGGATCCATGTTGGCAGACGCGGAACAGCCCACGGCACTACGAGGTAACGAATGTCAGGACGCGAATTCATTGCTGGACTCCCGCGCTGAGGGAGGAGTTGAGGAAGGCAGCCTAGGCGTAGGTCGGGTTGCTTTCTGGGAAGAAGTGCCGGCCATTGGAGCAGAAGACCACGGCACGAGTGCAGTTGCTGTTGAGAAGGCACTCCCGGCAGGAGGGAGTGGAGACATTGCGCAGGCAGCTGTAGGGCAGAGTGTTTCACCCAGCAACTTTGAGCAGCTCATGTCCACGGCCAGGTCCAAACTCAGTAGCATGGGGTTGCAGCGCATGCAGAACACGGTAGAGGAAACAAATGTTGTGGTAGATGATTTTTTTTCCATTGCCTCTACCCCTGGATCCATGGACTAGATCGAAGCTGGCAAGTGCGGATATGATCTACGGGCTGAACGTCTATGCGTGCGGCCTGGGTAGCGGACCGCCACCGAAGCGTGAGCCTTGTGGGATTGTGGAAAACTTGGGGAAGCTGTGTGAACGGTTCAAAGTGTGGGAGGAACCTTTGGGCAACCTTGACTTCGGGGATTTCTTCGCCAAAAGAGGGGTTACATACGACGGGGAAGAGGTTCGCGTGGCACAGACGCTGACTTGGATTGGGGTTCAGGGTTCCTTACCCGATGAGGTTGGTCGTCTTGAGTTGAGGGACTTCTGTACCCAGGGCACCCTGCACTACATAGATCACTTCGAGGATCATTTGCTGGATACCTCCCACATGACATGTCCCCGAGCTCCGCGGGTCATGGTGGGTGATGATTGGCCCGCCATATGCAAGGGACTCATCGAGAAGAAGATCTGCGAAGTCACCCCGATCGACGAGCTGTTCCACATCGATCAGGCACCTTTGCTGAACGGAATGTTCGGAGTTGGTAAGGGCGAGTTCGTAGGAGACGTCGAGACACAGCGTCTTATTATGAATTTAATACCTCTCAATCAGTTGTGTGAACCCTTGGTGGGAGACGTTGTCACTCTCCCGAACATTAGCAGTTTTGGCACTTTTCTTTTGGATGATGGTGAAGTGGCGTTGGTGAGTTCTGAAGATGTGCGTTGTTTCTTTTATTTGTTTAAAGTGCCACCTGCTTGGAAGAAGTTCCTGGGGTTTAACAAACATGTCCCTGATGCTTTGGTGCCGGAGGAATGGCGTGATCGGCCTTGCGTGCTCACTTCTTGTGTGTTGCCCATGGGCTTTGTTAATAGTGTGTCAATTGCCCAGCACGTCCACCGAAACATAGTCACTTGGAGCCAACAGACTCCCGGAGGACTCGGAGGGGAGTGTGAAATGCGAAAGGATCGAGTGAGCAGTCGGTCAAAGGCCCAGTTTAGAGTTTACCTCGACAACTTTGACTTGGTGGAAAGGCTCGACCCCCCCACGGCTCAAGCCCTTTGTGGCCAAGTTGCGGATGTGGTGCAACGTTTGCGTGATCAGTACGCCAGCCAAGGAATCCCTCGTCACCCAAAGAAGGCAGTCGAGCGTGCCGGTGTCGCCGAAATCCAGGGCGCTATAGTCGACGGCTTGGAGGGGTTTGCGCAGCCCAAACCGGGCAAGGTGGTGTTGTACTGCCAACTGGCGTTGATGCTGGTGACACGGGCGAGTTGCACGTTGAAGGAGTTGCAGGTTGTCTGTGGGGGCTTCGTGTACTTCGCCCTCTTTCGAAGACCGTTGTTGGCTGCCTTGAATGAGGTGTGGAGGTTCATGGAGAGGTTGAAGAGGTTGCCGCCGGTTGTCCGGCTGCCGGTGCCGACCGAGGTCCAGCGTGAGTTGCTTATGTTCATATTGCTCACCCCGTTGGCGCAGATTGACTTTCGATGCCCGTTTGTTGACCACGTGACATGCAGTGATGCCTCCACCACAGGGGGCGGGGTTTGCGTCAGTGAAGGCTTGACCAGCTATGGGGTTGCCGCTTTGAACGCAGAGACCAGGGGCGATCTCCCGTTAGAGGGAGACACGTTGCAGGTATTCTCCGTCGGCCTCTTTGATGGTTTGGGAGCCCTGCGATTGGCGCTGGACAGCCTTGGGGTGGCCGTTGCAGGACACCTGAGTGTTGAGAAGGAAGGCACGGCGCGACGAGTGGTTGAGGCGTTTTTCCCGGACTCCATTTTCCACGATGATGTCAAAACAGTGGACGAGGAGATGGTGAAAGGCCTGGCGCTTCGCTTCCCGTCCGTGGCTCTGGTATTGTTGGGCGCTGGCCCGCCTTGTCAAGGCGTGAGTGGGTTGAACGCCTCCAAAAAAGGGGCGCTTCGAGATGAGCGGAGTTGTTTGTACCAAGAAGTGCCCCGTATCAAGGAGCTGTTTCGCCAGTCGTTTCCATGGGCGCAGGTGCGCGTTGTGATGGAATCCGTAGCATCCATGTCGGAAGAAGATCGTGGCATTATGAGTGAGGCCGTGCAGTTGCAGCCATACCGAATAGACGCAGCAGGGATCAGTCTATGTCACCGCCCTCGTCTTTACTGGATGGACTGGGATCTTCATCAGGGGGAGGGAGTGGAGATCACCCCTCCCGTGGCGGATAGCAACTGGCAAGGTTGTGGCGTGGTCCGTTTGACGGCCGAGGTCAAGTCCGAGGCGTTCTTGGAACAGGGCTGGTCGGTGACGGAAGGTTTTCGGTTGCCAACGTTTACCACGTCACGCCCCAGGGACCAGCCAGGTTACAGGCCCGCAGGACGTGACAGGTGCGCCCCACACGAGCTTAGACGTTGGGAGGAGGACCACTACAGGTTTCCGCCATACCAATATCGTGATCACAACCTGCTCTGGACTCGAAAAGGTGCGGCTCGGAGACCAAATGTGCAGGAGCGTGAGGCGATCATGTGCATACCGGTCGGGTATACCAAACCCTGTCTCCCGAAGGCTGAACAGTCTGGGGTGAAGTGGGAGGACACTCGGCTGAGCTTGATCGGCAACTCCTGGCATGTAGGAGTGGTGACATGGTTGCTGGAGCAAATGCTGGGCCCCTTGGGGTTTTGTCGAAGACAGTTGCTACAGGAGATCGTGGACTATCTGACCCCCGGAGGCAGTGCGACGTTGCAGGGCATTCTACTTCGTCCACCGTTGCTCTCGACCAAGCGCTTGGTGACAAGCTTAGAGAAGCCGTTGCTGTTGAAACTTCTGGGTCTGGTGTCAATGAAAGGAGAGGACCTCATGGTCACCGCCGCCAGTGAACCCCAAGTCAAGTTCCACAGACTACGCTCCAGCGTGCCCGGGAAGCTCTGGCGTTGGAAGGAAGTGACAGGCTGGCAGTGGCGGCATTCGGGCGAGCGCATCAATGTGCTCGAGCTCCGCGCTATTTTGACTACTCTGCGTTGGTTGGTTGTCCGCCGAGGAGCTCATCGCCGTCGTTTTTTACACTTGACTGATAGCTTGGTTTGCTTGCATAGCTTGTCGCGTGGTCGAACCTCGTCGCGGAAGTTGAGGCATGTGTTGAAGCGTGTCAATTCCCTCATCCTTGCTGCTGACCTACACCCAGTGTGGGGGTATATCCACACTTCCCAGAACCCCGCAGACCGCCCGAGTCGGCGGCCTCTCCAACGGAAATGGGGAAAGTGAAACAGCACTTAGAAGGTCACAGCAAGGAGTTGCGGGCGAGGAATAGACAAGCTATGGGTACACTGCGTGAACTCACAGTGCAGCCCCAGACCAGGAAACGCTACAGCCAAGCAAAGAATAAATTCTACGACTATGCCAGGAGCAATGGACTCACGATACCTTCCAACTTCACTGCATTCGACGACATGTTGGCCGATTATGTTGAACATTTGTGGAGTATGGGGGAGGGGCGAGCGCTTGCCAGTGACACCGTTGCCGCTTTTCAGGACACAGAGCCCCGGCTGAAAGGCAAGCTACAAGTGACTTGGAGGCTGTTGAAGACATGGCACGTCAACGAGGTGCCAAGTCGCGCGCCGCCTCTCCCGGAAGAGTGCCTTTTTGCAATGTTAGGCTGGTGCCTGTTCCATGAAGAGTACGCATTTGGACTGAGCCTCTTGCTGGGTTTTTATGGATTACTGCGAACGGGGGAGATTCTCGGGGTGTGCAACCACCACATCCTGATGACGTCTCCCGACAAACCAGCAGTTATTTCATTAGGTTTAACCAAATCTGGTAAGCGGGCCGGTGCGTCCGAGAGTGTCACGATTTCGGTCACGTGTGCTCTGCAGTGGTTATGGGCATGGAAGCACACTTCTCCTCCGCACAGTCCTTTAACCCCCAAGCCACACCAATGGAGAAAGACTTTCAGTCAGTGCATCAAGGCTTTGAACCTTGAAGAATTCGAGTTCCGCCCCTACAGCTTACGTAGGGGGGGCGCCACGTTTTGGTTCGGGCGCCACGGATCTCTCGATAGGATCATTGTCCTTGGCCGGTGGGCTGCAGTTAGAACTGCGCGGTTGTACATAAACGAAGGTCTCGCCCTATTGGCCACTTTAAAGATCCCCAAGAAAGCCATTCTTCCGTTTGTCCGCGCGTTTCACCGGCATGACCTTGCGAAGCTTAGCCGAACGCTTGAGCGTGCTAAAGCAGGTCAGGGGGAAGTGGAGTAACAGTACTGTGTGAGGGGGGAATTAGTTTTTTTCGTGTCAAACAGAGAAAGACCGTTACTACTACCTGGGCCCAGGTGTCCTGGTTTGGCAGGATGCCTGGGGGGTAGGAGGGGCAAACATCTTTCCTTGGCCTGGCAGGAAAGGTGTTTGCTGGGCCTCTTTTCGTGGGGTCGTGGAGACCAAAACAAAGAGGGTCTTTCTCATCCTATGCGTTGATCTTTAATCTTTTTATTGACACATGACTGCATGCGCGGGTGAGAAAACAACGGGTGTGAGTCTTTATATATAGAGACTCTAGACTCTACACTGACAGTGTCTACAGTGTCTACAGGTTTGCAGAGTCAGTGCAATTCAGGTACTGATGTTTCTTAAAAAATCGAAAGCATATTTCCATGAAGAAGTCATGAAGAAGTCCTGTTGTGTCATGTGGTGGTGGAGAGGGCATTTGTCACGTGATTGGTGTGTGGTTTGTTGTGACTGGCAGTGCTTTGTCATCCGTGGTCGGTGGCTCTCTTTGGCCGTGCGTGTCGGTGTCGGAGTTCGAGCGAGACCGTCCACCCTATCCAGCTGCTCAGCTGTGCAGAGGGGCACTTGGTGAAATCGATCGTACTGTTGAAAAAGCACCGGTGAGCGCCCTCCAGGTGAGACATGGCACTGTTGGCTGCCCGGCTCTTGCTGAGATCAGATCCACCAGAGGAATGGTCTTGACGTGTTTGTGACATTCGGATCGCCAAAGTGTTCTACTATTCCTACTCCTATTGCACATTATTGTTCTGCGGACATTTGTTCTAGCAGCTACCCGTCTTTTTTGATCACGTGGTGCGGTATAGTATTATACTGTATATGAGTGTCGAACGCATATATCACACACACACACACACATCTAACAAATAAATACACACACACACACATATATATATATATAATATACATTATAGAAAGAGAGAGAGAGAGAGTGCCTCCCACCAGGGCACGACTGGGCGGCATACAGTCATGACAAGGTGTTTGTAGACTCGTGGATGCAGCTGTAGCCGAAGCCGAAAACCGCTGCTGCTTTGCTCAAGTGCCAGTGGCTTCCGGCTGCGTAATGGCTCAAGGCAGCTCTGAAATGCGCCCACCCAAACACTCCTAATCCGCCCGGTCGTCAATTCAAAAGGGCTTTGGTTTCTGGGCGCAGGTGAAAGGATCCATGGGCAACCAAGCCCTGTGTGGTACAATGCTCAGCTCAGGGTTTTTCAATCTAAAGAGCTTTATTGAACGTTCTTGATCGTATAGCCTTGAAATCCAGCTAGTGAGAAACCTTACTCCAATGTTCAAGAGAGTTTGATTGGCCGCTCTGACTGCTCGGCCTAGGTGAAAAAGGAATAAAATGTGGTGAGTGCCTTGTTTGCACTGGTGATACGGCTTTTAGTGGCAGGCCCGTTCTGCACATACAGTTCAACGTGGCCGGGGTGCTGTTCTATGCTGTTCTCTGATTTTGCCGAAGTCGGTGCACGTGCATCCTTGATCAGACTTTGACGATGAGAAGATGCGTGTTTTCTTGGATAGCATCGGACAGCACATCTGACCAGAAAGAAGACACAATCGAGAAAGACTCGAGTCTCGCATTCAGAGACGTTGCGGTGGTTTTCAGCTTTTCAGCTTCAGGCAATGCACTCAATTGACGATTTCGCAACCCCTGGACAGCACGGTCGAGGACGTCCATTCGACCGCCACGGTCCGCGGGAGTGGGGCGTCCCGCGAAGCGCCGCCGAAAATCGATTCGGGACGAAACGTGGTGGTCCTGGAGGAGCCTGAACCTGCCGGTGCTGTGTTCCCCGACACGCTTGAAGGCTCGAGAGGAGATTTCTGGCGATTGCGATGGTCTTGTGGAGCCACCACAGAGGATTGGAATGCGGGACTTATAGGACAAACTGTTGGCGATAGCCCGATGCTATCCAACACTTTCTGACTCGCGCAGCAAATTGGAACACCTGGAAATGGATAGCACCCCGTGTGTACGAGACAACATGCTTTTGGAGTCTATAAGATCTATATAGATCTATAAGTTCTACGATCTGTATGAGGCTGTATACTTAGCCCCCCCAGGGCCGTAGTGGCCCGTGGTGTTCGGCCTGGCACTGGCAAGGCCTCAATGCCATTGATCGTAACCTGCTTCTCTTCAGCAGCTCGTCCACCGGTGACTGAGAGGAAGACGGGGCTGGAGTTCCAACAGTTCCCTAATACCACGCTGAGTCACAATGTTTGAGCTACAGAGAATTTACTGCTCCACCTGCCTTGCCAGTGAAATGAGCTGATGTCAAAGCCAGCTAAAACAAGATGGACAAGTCATTGGACATTTTCTCTATGATTTGGTCACCCTTTCGATCTAGCACAATGTTTAATGGCCACACACATGAGTTTCTTATGTCTCTCCTTTTTGGGGGGTTGTTTGGTGCTTTCATTTTGGAAGGCCCGTCCACCTGAGGCACCTCTCAAAACTTGGCGGCGGTGCGGTGGCTCCTGGTGCTGGGGGCGAATCGCAGGGTCACAGCGCCCTGTTTGGCTTCATGTTGCCTTGTGCGTAGCCTGTGTTTCATGCTGTCTCTCTTTTTTTGGCGGGGTGGTAGGGTAGGAAATAGATCAGAAATGGAAGCTAGACACTCCTCCCACAAGCTGCCTCTGGGACAAGAAGCCCGATATGTGAATTCTTGTGGAAGGCTAGCGGCTAGGACTGCTAGGAGTGCGGAGATTTTGAGACAATTAACCTTTGCTGAGGGTCCAACGCTAGAAATGTCAAGACAGGTCGGCGGGGTTGGGTCATGTTGGGTCGACGTCCATACGATGTAAGGACCAAAATGGCACCACGTGCCTCCATGCCGCTTGCAGAAGTGGTTCCTGCAGCATTGTGGAGGTGCTGACCTTCTTAGATGAACGAGGCCGTTTCAAGCCGACGAGGGACAGGTCGGGCCACATGGACTCACGAAGTCGCTGTCCACGTGTTTTGAGGTTGCCCAGGTGAGGAGAAGGAGGTGGAGGATGCCAAAGCAGGCCAAGAAGTTCGAGATGAGGTGGGAACTGGTGACGGGGTTCCGTTGGTCGGATGCAGTCAGTAGCCAACAAATTGGCTTCGACCGAACGACTTCAACCACCTGAGCTGGAGTCTGGAGGATTTGATGAACTTTCTGTGCTTCCCACCATTTCCTCGTGGCTTTGCTGTTTCTCCCAGTCTGTGGTGTGTCAAGCACTGGGGTTGCGACCATGTTCGGGGAGGGCCAGGGGGAACCTCCACAACTCGTTCGTGTTCTGCGGACCTCCACTTCGCCACCCATCGCATGGTGACTCACAGGGCATGAGGAAAGCAGAAGATGAAAACCTACTGCATGGACCATTTGCCCTGTTTTGGCATACCTCCTACTACATGTACTGGACCATTTGCCCTACTACTGTGGAGTTTTGGATCCCTTTCCTGGACCATTTCTCTCCACCGCAGGCCGGCTGGACCCCACTACATGTGGCCGCCTTCATGGGACGTCAAGACGCGGTGAAGGTGGAGCTTCCAGCCGAGCGGAGGGGTTGGTAAGTCAATGGTGGTTTCTGGTGCCCAAAGCAGCTAGTGAAGTCTAGTGGCTAATGAGATACACTCCCCGAAATCATCATGCTTCCGTGGATGGCATGGCCCCCTTGGATGACCATGAAATCCGAAGACCAAGCAGGTGGTGATAATATGTGATATGCACTTCCTTCCGTGATTATTTCAGGGAGTGTACTTGTATATAGTGTGTTCCTTATATGGGGGGATGTTAATTAGACACCTTTTGCATTCAAGAATAGAAGTGGAGCATTAGGTGCACGGAAGACATGGCTTCACGAGTCGGGGGGTCAGTGGGTTTATTGATCTGTGCGACTAACAAGGGCTTGCAAAACATAGAGCCCCCTTCCATGGCAAGGTGCTCTCAATTCCTTTCTAATGATTCTCAGCGTGGTTGATCACTGGCAGTTCACCAGGGGATCCTCTTCAGGTCCTGCTGCGGAATGGTGCCAATGTACAAGCCCGGACTGGCAAAGGTCAACTTGCAGTTGAACTTTGTTCTGAGACCTGGCTGCATTCATGTCGCGTATGTGGCAGTCCTTATTGCCTGTGCCACGGCACTTTCCCTCCTTTTTTGGGGGCAAAGTGCAGCGTATGTTGTAGATTCACGTAGATTCCTAGATGCCAATTTTTTATCCAAATGAAAAGCTGAGGATGTGGCTACCCGGCGACTCTTGCAGAAAGAGATGCGAGAGACCAATGCTTTTCACCCGACCGACCGGATAGCAGGCCGACTGAGTGCGACCTGCCTGCGACCTGCTGGACTGACCGGTTGCACGACCGCGCGCTGGTCGTCGCCGGGTCGTTGGCCCGGACAGGTATGGAGTTGCTGGAAGAGAGGCCCGAACGCACGCCATGTGTTCCTGGGAATGTGAATGAGCATCGTGGAACTAATATGGAACATTATGGAACATTTTATGGAACTACTACTGCACCAGTTGTGCAGTACAACAGTTCCTTACAGTTCCCACAATTGAGGCAGGTTCATTTTTTTCACGCTGACTGGAAGTTTGGTTCTGCTGAGTTTGGCCGGCCCTCTTTGATAACGTGCTGAGCGCATGAGCCCATGGGCTCCGGCTCGCCAGGACCTCCCGCCGAGTGGAGGGCTTCGAGGGCCTTCAAAGCCTTCAGATCGAAGGCGCGGGACTCGCGCGTCGCGCGCGGCGCGCCCGTGCCCGGCAGCAGCCGCGTGGTGACCGCAGCACTCACTGGGCCTCCAGGAAGCTGTTTGATAGGTGATTGGATGTAGTTGGTATGTCAGTGGTCGTTGTAAGAGATGAGGCAGTGACTATAGGTGCTTGGCAGCGGATTGATTGGTTGCCGACAATCACCGCAGGTCATGTTTTGTCCAGATCATGCGTTCCATCTCCTTCACGGGAGATTCGTGGTGCACTCAGCCTGCGAGAGAGAACCAAAAAAGCAATCTGCAAGTAAGCAATGAATTGCATCCTTGTAGCTGGGCGGCATGGAAAGAAGTCAATATTGAATATATATATATATATAGTTGGACCCGAGCCTTCAGTGAACCTCATCGTGGAACTGGCCCAAAACCAAAAGAGGCCAACACCATGCGCCGTTCGAACATCCCGTGAGATACATATCCAACGCAGGGCTCCATGAGCCCTGGCCCAGGGCCGGCGCTACATTTGCCAAACGCTTGGTGCCCAAACGCCCAACGAAAGGCTTCGAGCCCTTCTTTGTGCCCCGCACGCCGCTCATCCCCGACGAGGAGATGGAGTTGGAGCAGCTCGGTCCTTCGGGCCGTTTCGGATCACCTCAATGTCGGCCGATTTAAAATGATATAAGAGATAAGAGATGTCATGTTGTTCGTATCAGGCTACCAAGAGATAAGAGATATTCAAGAAGATATAAGATGATATATACGCATAAGATATCTGCATGCGGCATACTGCACACAATTTGCGTGGATCATTTCTGATAGTGTCTTTACGTGGGTGGAGCTCCGCAAATCACCGCCGAACGCGGGAGAAGGCAGAATCCATGAGGAAATGGATCGATGATGATTGATGTTTCTCAACATGCACATATGCGCACAGTGCTGCATACATAGAGAAACTGGAGACCGAAGCCGCAACCCACCCCTTCAGCCACTAATCCCCCTCCAACAAGGGGAGGCCATTACTGTACCCTATTAATTTTATAGATCTTTATTAAGCGGGGTCCCAAGTTGGCCCAAACTGTCTGTGTACCTGTTTTCACTTCACTCTGTTTTGTTTGGACTGACCGAGGCTTGTGGAGCTTTGTGCATATATGGGCTGCCAAATCTTTGAGGCCCAGCCCGGGCGAGGCCTCGTCCCTCGGCAGGATCGGGTTGGTTTGGGGCGAGAGGTCTTTGCTGAGATGAACCCTGCAGTTGAGGGTGTTGTGCCATTGAACGAAGCAAACTAAGACAATCAAGGCACAGAATACAGCCTCTCATTTTGAGAACAACACGGTCACAGGGTTGATCCTGAAAAACCGGATGTGGGCCATCTGGGCTCGGGCTGCTCCCTTCAACTCTCCCACACGCCTGCGGTAGATATTGACCACATATAGACATAGACCGGCATTAAGCAAAGCCGGTCCTGGAACCACGCCGCCTGACGCGCGCTGAAAATCATGCCACTTGAAGTGTCACTGCTTGGCGCTGAAGCACGGCCCGAGGCCTTCCTGGTGGTGTCGGGCTGTGTGAGGGATTATCCTATCGACTTGGTGGGCTTCATCCGCACCGCGCGGCTGAACCCCTTGCAGGTGGGAACCTTCCTGGGCGAGGACGTCCCTGGGTTTCTGGGGGAGAAAGGTGCCCGTCCTGTGGTAGATCGAGACAAGAACACGTGGAAACACGCGCGGATTTGGTGAAGAGATTTGGTTGAGAGTGCGAAATCCCTGTCGATTTGGATTTGTTGTGATTTGTAGTGGTATATATATATATATATGTATAATATATGTGTATATGTATATTGATATGGATTGGTGGTTTCTGGTCGACGGCTCACCTTGGTGTTGGTTGGAGAAGCCGCAGGACTTCTCCATTGCAAAGATCCTCCGCATGGAATTCTTGAATTCAGCAGCCCTGGCAGCACGAAGCTCACGAAGCGTCGGACGCGACGCGTCTTCTTTTTGGCTTCAGGCAGCCCAATGCCCAAGTGACACGGCACCTTCCAATGTTTCAGTCACAGTACTTTTTTCGACCACTCACGCTCCCTTTCACATCCACCAGCCACATCCAGCCTGTTGGGCAAACCGCTTGTTGTGTCCCTTTCACAAGGCCAGCTGGAACCCCAGGCAAGGATCACTCTGAAGAAGTTGGCACGTCAGAACTCTTGGGTGCTCAGTCGGAGGTTTGCCTCGTGGACACGGGGATTGTGTCGGCATTGCGCACAGGCCAGGGGGTGAACTTCTCAGTCATCGACTGTCCAAGCGTAGCTGAACGAGATGTTTCCAGCGAGTACGTTCAGATTGGAAAAATGCATGAATGATGCAAGTCATGCAACTCATTGATTCATTGCAAAGTGCATGTTGATTGGAAAGTGCATGAATGTTTGAACTCATCCAACTTCCTCATTCTTCCGACTTCGCCTAGTCCATGACTCCAGAAGTCTGTGGCAGGGAATTCCCCTGTTTCGGCATCGACCCGCGCACCTCTCACGGGCACATCTCTCCTCCGTCGACCGGCGGAGCGAGGCCTTGAGGGTCTTCAAGTGCCGCAAGATTTGCAGAAGATGCATCGCTTGTTGGGTGGCTTGTCGGAGGCCACCCCCGGCCGTCCACGCGCCACCGATTCGGCCGCACGGCCGGCGATTCGGCCACCGTCCACGGCCGCCGGTTCGTGAGTCTTCTTGGGGGTTGTGGACAGGTGGACAAAAAGATGGAGAGAAAATGTCCAAGCTGCAGCTGAGGATGGAACTGAGGATTCTGCTAGCCGGCACTTGCTGCTGTTTTTGCCAGCAACGGCTACATGTGTTGGTGGGCCGACAGGGTTTGACACTAACGTGGCTGCCAGGATCTAAGCGTTTGATCTTTTTGAAAGAGTTTTCCCACCGGCTCTTGCCTCAATAGATGAGAGACAGCGGCAAACGATGAGTCGGAGCCACGCTGCGGGTGGCCGGACGCCGTCGTGCAGGTCTGGTGGCGGCAGCAGCTCAGAGCAGCTCGGAGCGGCGCGCTGAAGAAGCGGAAGAGTGGCGACAAAGAGGAGAAGGTTTTTTGGATGGTAAGATGAAAGGGACCTCAGGCATCTTCAGGCCAAGTACGTGGTGTAAATTTAAGTCAGTTGTGTTGTCATTATGTCCAGTGGCGGGTTCGTGGAAACCATAGAATTCTTCTGGTAGCTTGGTACTAGTACCTGGATACCTTACAGTTGATGGTGGTGACCCTGAAAAGGAAACAGGAAAGTAGTACAGTAGGGGTGTGAAAAAATCACCAAGAGCGATGCAGATTATGTTGCTGCCTCGGTCATGCGGTGAAAGGCAGCATCCTTGCCCTGGGGGTTGCCGGAAGTGTTGTGCCCTCCGACAGTCAAGCCACTAGTTTAAGGACACAGAGGCATTAGGCATTGTCCTTCCTCCCATACGGAGCCTCAGGTTACCAGGTTAATACCCGAGTTGGCAACAGACCATCCAACTAACTACAGTACCTAAAAAAATAACATTGGAGCTACAGGCGTGAAGATAGCAGATAGCACGAGCACTGCCCACGGGATCTCTACCTTTTTTTCCCCTCTGCCCTTCTCCGCAGGTATGCAAAGCCGAACCTTAGCGTCACCAACTATAACTATATATAGCAAAAATGAATTCAGGGTGAAACATGCCCGCTAAATAGCTACTAAGTTACTAGGAGCAAAGGGCATCGCTACTAGGACGCTACGAACGGAGCAAAGGCTTACCGCACCGAGCCCGAAATCCACACCGAACCACATCACCCATCACCGATCGGACCGATCGGACGCGCCAGGAGCTCGTCGCTGAGCTCAGCGCCCCGCTGGCGGCCGCGGTGGATGCCCTGCAGGATGAGCTCCGAGGTGCCAGTTTAAGGGCGTAGCTTGGAACGCTGAAAGGGGCAGATGGACCTGGGGGGATTTCCTGACCTTGGCGCGGTGAAAGATGTGCGCTAACCTTCCCCTCCCCCAAAAATGGTTGAGGTTCCTTCTGCGAGATTCCCGACCCATTTGGGTTTGATTCCATTGGAGGTTGGTGGATGGGTGCCGGGTACCACATGGTATATATCACGTGGTGCATCATAGTACCACCATCATTTGCCACCTTTCCTTTCGTTGAGCGAGGTCGGACACCTCGAGTCGGCACCAGACCGACCCGTCACCATGGACAAGGATTTTAAACGCCCGAATTGGATTGCTCGTTCGTTTCAAGGGAATCGCCGAATTGGATCATGAAACTGAAGGATGCTAACAACTAGTAACATCTAGTAAGTAACTAGGATCTAGGACTGAGGCAGTGCGGCTCTTGAACTCGAATGGCTGCGGGTGTTGCACGCCTTGGGTAGCCGGTGTTGCCTGTCACCAAGGATCTTGCCATCCATCAACAGTTTACACCAGCTGTTCTTCTCCACTGTCCGACGCTTATTCCGACTTCCGGGGTACAGAATAGATGTGGGGCCTGTGGAGCTTGTTTCCGGTGTTGCTGCATACTGAAAACTCGATGAGCTTGGAAGTGGCACCTGGAGCAACATGGGATACACGTGTGACCTGGAGCTTTCAGGAACCACCAGCATCATAACCTTGAAGCAATATTGACGTCAAAACACCTTCCCCTTGAAAACAGTGCGCACACACACACATTGAATTACATTCATCACCTCCAGGATGTCGGAGATTCGTTTTACCAATCGTTTCTCGGGCTTTTTCGACGAACGTCGACGTTTTTTCCGTTTACCAAGGTGATGCTGCACTGGAACTTGCACGCCCCTGCGCTCCCGGCCTCTCAGAAGTTGAGCTTTGAGTCCTGGATGGCGTTGAACCGTGCCTTGGAGGTCACTACCTGCGAGAGCTTGGAACTCTTGAGTCGGTTTTTGTTGTCTTCGGGTCTTCTGCTGAACGTGTACTGTGCAAGGGAAGGCTGTTGGTAAACGGTCTTGCTCCAATGTTTGGAAAGGTGCATCCGATCCATCATTCGCCATTCTTATGAGACTGTAGATTTCCCTCTTCTCCCACGGAAAACGGCTTATAATGGCTTCCAACACTTTCTTGTTCTTGCTACATGTCATCTCAATGCTACTTGGGCTCTTGCTCCCCGGGCAAGTTGCCAAGGAAGTGGCAGCAAGGACCGGCAACTTGTGCTTGAGGTATTGAGAATGCCTAAATGGTGCAAATGGTCTGAAGTTCCTTCGGCTCGTTGAAGACCTGCAGTTGGGAACCATGTTGGAACGCAGACGATGGTGGCAACTGAATGACATACAGCAACTGGTGTCTTCTTGGGATTGGACTCAGCGAGCATCTCACATCAAAGAGACCACCCCAAAGCATCATCACTGGTACTAGGACAAGTCTGTGAAGGCCAACTGGTTCAGGCCTGGTTTCCCCACGTTCTGGGTAGGGCCGTATCATATCCTGCAGGAGGATGTGCCTGAGTGGCTGCTGGAGAATATCTACACCACCGTGGCACAAGCTCCTATCAAGGAGCTTTCTTTGGAGCCTGATGAGGCCTTGCAACTTGGACCCTTTCTGGCGGCCCATTGCTTTCACCAAGTGAGAGGGCCCCTGTAGCACCCATGGGGTTTGACTGGAAGAGCTGAGGCGAAAGCCCTCACTGGGCTCCATAGCTGCAAAAGGAGCCCGCGATCTGGGTCGTGTATGGGTCATGTGGGCGGGCCTGGGATTGGTCCCAAGAAGTGGAAGGATGGCATGGTGTGAAGGCCGCTCAGGCCCCGGCCCTCGGAATCTTGGGATGGGTCATAGCGGCCATAGGAGAACACTTATATAGAGATCCAATTTTTAACAGAATACATCGCATGTAAATCCTCCCAAGATCTCCCAAGCCTTGAGCAAAGAACGCCTGAGATCATTTCTTTCAACGAACCTCACATCCTTCCCGTCAACCCGTCAGCTCGCCCAAACGCTCGGCCGCAGCCGCAGCCGAGCTTGGAAGTCGTCCCAAGGCCGTAGCCATGGCCTACTGGTCATGGCCAAAGCCGAAGGCTGGGCGGTCGTCCAGGGCGATGGCCCCGGTGGAGTGGCCAAAAGCAACTTCTTAGAGCCTCGACTGAAAGGAGTGGCCAATGGGCATGGGGCGTGATGTGGATCATGTAGCTGGAAGTCTTTGGGGGTAAAGCCGGTAAAGCATTTCGTTTAAGCTAGCTGGCTTGAGGGATCTCGGCCGCTACAAGAGCTCATGAAAAGAAAAGGGTGGAGCCTTTGAGCGATTTCGTTCGGACGAGTCAGCGGACCTTCCCTGTGGACGTTGCGAAAGATTTCGGTCGCACGGATCTGAGGAATGCATTCGGATGACTGGCATGATCAGCAGCACAGTTGCATCATGTTGCATCTACCACTGGGCTTTCTTCGGGTCCTTCAGATATCACACCCACGCAGATATATAGTGACATTACTATACGGGTACTGTGTATATCAAACACAAAGTTTTACAATATTAGATGTATTTGCAATATTATCTTTAATAAACACCTATAAAATCCTATAAACACAGAGTATACTTAGACATGTATATAAATATTAACAATACTTCACACCCACTCCCAACAATGTAAGGCCACTGCTAGATTCCCCCAAGAGATAGCGATGACTCCCAAAATCACCGTGCACCGAGGCGAGGCGACGTCTGCCAGGCTCTCGGCGCGCGCGGAGGCGGGGCCGCGTCGCGAAGAGCGACGTGGAGGGAAGGTCCCGCGGCGAAGGAAAACAACAACGAACCAAAAACGTTGTTTTTTTCTACTATAGGTTCTTTGTTTAGTTACTGTATTTAGTATTATATAGACATCTTTTGGAGGAACCTGTTTTGGGAGGTTCTTTGTTCGTCCTGTCGGGTCGGGTCGGTTCGTCTCTCTGGTCGCTGTCTGTCTCTGTCTCTCTCCCTTTGTCTCCCTTTGTGAAAGTCGTATGGCATTATGGGTCTTTCTGGTTATTTGGTCAGACCCGACGAACTGGGAGAGGTGAATCCAGCTTTCGGACCAAGGACTCGCAAGCAGATACCGTGACCTTGGCTGAATTCAGGGTCGAAAGGGCTCCCAAGCGTGCAGGAGGCACGCTCCTCATAGCAGCCATGTGGCTCCGTGGATGTTCCTGTCCAGTTGCTGAGGCACTCTGGCTGTCCTTGCGTGGGCCACTGCTCTTCTTTGCTCGGGAGTCAGGGCCCCTGAAGCCCTTCGCCTTCCTCCACCTCACGCAGTGGCTCACCGAAGTGGACCCTGCAAGGCCCGGCGCATCCTCGGACGATCGGAGGGGCCCCACGGGTGACGGACGATCTGGGGCATGGTGCCAGGTCAACGTTCATCTTGCAGGGCTCGGATCGGGAGAGGGTGAAGAAGGAGGAGCTGAGTTGCTGGAAAGTGCTTGGCCTGTTAGGTGAAGGGGAGCGTGAAGGTGTTAAGCCGGTTAAGCCCAAGCCGGCGACTTAGGACGTATAGGAGTCCTTAGGAGATCAGAAAGTTGGCTACGACGAACGGTCTGTATTGGGCTCCAGGACTCTCCAGCCACCCGCCCGACCTTGCAACTCATCGTGCTCTTACCGGACGGCCGACACTCGGGGTGATTCAGCCGAGCCGCTGCCATCCGAGCCGTCAACGCGTTGTGGAGATGGCAGCGAACCAACTGGTACACATCTCCCTGATTACAAAGAAACACGATGCCCCCAAGCAAACAAAAATGACATCAATCTCTTATTGGCATTTGGAACCAGGGCATCTCTACCTATACTGGGCATCAGGTAATTTATATTCACCTTGTTGGCACATTTCTTACAGATAGCAATGGTTCAGATTTTCCGCACCACGGCCACGTTCCCCACGCCCTCCGGGATTTTTCGCTTCCTGGTCGCATGGCGCAAAAATCCGAGGATTTCAGGCCTTCGAGTTTGCCCAGCTGGCCTTTATGGTGGGTGACAAAGATCGCCTGGCCAACTGGCTGGAAGGCCTCGCCTCCTTAAAGGAGCTGCCGGATCTGGGCGAGGACGTTCCCGTCTAAGGCCTCAAAAAGGTCGGCTTGCTGGCGCCGCGGGAGATGGCAGAGAGGGAGATCAAGAGACACACGTGAACCATGTGTTGCAGTTGTTTCCGCAATTTTTCTGAAGGGATCTCAGGGCCGATGATTGCCCAAGGCTGTACCGGGTGCCCATCAGAAGTCTTTGAGCATGCTGGGTTTCTGGCTAGGAAGGCCTCGTCCCCTCTACGCTGTGCCTGGGGCGATCTTGGCTCTGAGCCCAGATGACGCCGTGCAGATGTGATGCGTCATGTCTGTCACGTGAAGTCCAAATGGTCTGTCAGAGCGCAGACGCGCACACGAACACAGGTAGCCTCCACCTGTCGCGCTTGGCGACAAAGGCATGGTGGGACGAATGGGGAGGCTTTGTGCTGAGTGACCATTAAGCACCCTCCTGCTGAGGGTCTTCAATCATGTGGAGCTGTCTTTTCATGGTGCAGACGGGCTTTCAGGATAGGCAAAGAAGTAGGAAGTTCAATTCCGACACATTTTGAGCCATGGCGGCTGTTTTCCCTGCGAATCAGGCGGGCAGCTGACTCAATGTCTCTTGACCACTCAGGTCTTTGATTTGGGTTTGGAGGAACATCTTCATGAGGATTTCCACCCGCTGAAGAACACAAAAAATGCACTTGAAAGATAATGAAAGATCTCTTTGCTTCCAGGGATTCCAACTAAAGGCACGTCAACTGCCAACCGCCATGTGGGTGGCAGGTGATTGTGGTGGGCGGTGGCCTGGCCGGCATGTCTGCGGCCAACACTGTGGTGGAGCTGGGTGGCCGCAGCTTGCTGCTGGACAAGTCCTCCTTCTGCGGTGGCAACAGCACCAAGGTAGGCACAGCCGAAGATATGCGTCCTTTGTGTTGATTCACAGTAACTACTGTATATAGTCAATATCTACATGTCCACCCGTTCTCACCTTTCTACTCCGTTTGGCTCAAGGAAAACACGAGCGCGGTATCGTGCTAAGGCTGGTTGTCAGCCGTATCGTGTCGCCAACGCGTGGTACGTTCTGGGCGGTTCCTAGCTTCCTCCACCAGGGCGTAGGTAACCCTCAAAGTTTGTAGAACCTGCTTCGAATGGCTTGGATGACGAACGCTACGTTCTGACGACTCTTGGCCGAATCGATGAGTGACAACCTCCCTGCGTGTCAGGGAGTAATACTGAGCCTGCTGTTGCAGAAGATGCTCAATCCTTTGGCACAGCCTGGACTTCTCAGCCATTTTTGGTCTGTGTTTGGACTCCTGCTCCGCTTGAGGCGCGCTTGGCGCTGGAACTAGTCCTCACAGTGATGGTGGTCTTCTTCCTTCTGAGGATGCCGACGAACCTTGAGTTGCCGCCGAAGCGTGGTTGATGTCGGGGCTGAAAAGTTTGCGTGTGGTGACGGCTCCACCTTCGAATGGACGTGTCAGTTTAAACTTCTTTGTCCACTTGCAACTTGCAATGCACCCGATTCGTCAAAAGTGGATAAAAGTGGTACGATCATTTTGGCTGGCAGCATAATGGGGAAGGTCATCTGGGCCTAGGCGGCCCAAGGCGGTGCGGCCTCCTGACCTTTTGTGTGAGGGGTTCCTGGTGATCGCTGGGCTTGGCGATGCCTCTTGCGTCATTATGGTGTGCCCGCTTCCAAGAGACAGTTCATCTCCAGTCAAACCAGTTCCAAGGAGAAGAACCGCCACCGTGAGCTGCATCATCCTGATTGTCCTGCTGCGGAGTGGGCCCGCTCTGTGACACGCGCGCCTGTTGCTCCTGTGTCCGTTCAACGGTGTCGGGTCTTCGCGCTCAACATCGCGGCAGGTTCTCGCAAGCTTTCAGTTGGCCTGTCCTGAGGAAGCGCAAACGTGCTCAGGGTACTGTTCAGACTTGTCCAGTCATTGCAGACGGGGGGGCAGTTGTGCATTTGTCACAAGGCCACAAGGCCTTTCGTTTCTTGCCAGTGAAGCTTGTAATTAAGCATTCTTGTGATTCCACCGGTGATAGTGTGCAGACTGCGCCTGCAGCAGTTGGCGGCTGCTGAGACTGCATGTCGTGTTCTTGGGTTCTTGGTATGAATCCCGCGTTTTTGGTGCGTTTTTTTGCCACTGCGCGGACAGTCTTGAGTGAGCAGGAGACATCATGACTTGGTTAGGCACGATGAATTTGCACTGGAGTGTGCAAGTGTAAAGCTGTTGCCTTGGAAGCATTTGGGTTTTTCCTGTTTGCTTGGAAATTTTGACGCAGCGGCCACTTTGTATAGGGTGGCCATTCTTTAAAAATTGCAGATTCGTCAAATTTGGTTGGATGGGATGGTCTTGTAAACGCATTTCCTATTGTTTCTGGATGTGCTTTGCAAAGTATGCTCGTCCAAGACGTGGGCAGGGTATGGACACACAGGCTGCTGAAATCAGAAGCATGTCAAACTCTGGGGGTCTGGGGTAGAAGAGCCTTGTTCGCGACTCGTTGTCTCAGCGTTCGCAACCGTCCACAGCCGTCTGCGGTAGAGCCCTAAGGCGCTGCCATTGGGGCAAGCTCTTGGAGAGGGTTTTGCCTGGAAGCGTGACGGGTCAGATTCGTGTGAAATAGCGAGGAATCGTGTGGAAACGTAAGATGTTGAAGCGTGGAGGATTCACTGCACAGGCGCAGCGTTTTGTGAGATCCGCAGTTTTCTGCGTAGTCACATTGGGAGTGGCGTTTGGGGAGTGGTGTTTTGGGGTTGTTGGATGCGACTGTGACATTGGGATTGGCGTTTCAGGGCGCTGCGTCGAAGCTATGTTTTTGTGACAAGTCTCGTGCGAAATGCTCGTTTTGTAGACTTGACATGTGACTTTCGGAGGACGTCTCGTACGAAACGCTCGTTCTGGAGACGTGACGGTTGACTTTTGTGAAAAGAGTGTCCCGCAAGAGTGTCCCACAAGAGTGTCCGACAAGAGTGTCCCACAAGAGTGTCCCACAATAGTGTCCTACAAGAATGTCCCACAAGAGTGTCCTAGAAGAGTGTCCCACGAGAGTCCTAGAAGAGTACGAGAGTGTTCCACAAGAGTGTCGCACAAGAGTGTCCCGCAAGCCACAGGGGTGTCCTGCAAGGATGTCCCACAAGAGTGTCCTAGAAGAGTGTCCCACGAGAGTCCTAGAAGAGTACAAGAGTGTCCCGCAAGCCACAGGGGTGTCCTGCAAGGATGTCCCACAAGAGTGTGCTACAAGACAAGACAAGAGTGTCCGACAAGAGTGTTGCACGAGAGTGTCCCACAAGAGTGACATACAAGAGTGTCCTACAAGAGTGTACTACAAGACTGTTTCGCAAGAGTGTCCTACCAGAGTGTCCCACATGAGTGACAAACAAGAGTGTCCCACAAGAGTGTCCTGCAAGAGTGTCCCACAAGAATGTCCTACAAGAGTGTCCTACAAGAGTGCCCCACAAGAGCCAGAAGAATGTCCAACAAGAGTGGCCTACAAGAGTGTCTTACAAGAGTGTCCTACAAGAGTGTCCCACAAGAGTGTCCCACAAGAGTGTCCGACCAGAGTGTCCCACAAGAGGGATATACCGGAGTGTCCCACAAGAGTGTCCTACAAGAGTGTTCCACGAGAGTGTTCCACAATAGTGTCCGACAAGAGTGTCCCACAAGAGTTTCCTACAAGGGAGTCCCAGAAGAATGTCCTGCGAGAGTGTTTCGCCACATTGTTCCACAAGAGTGCCCAAGAGTGTCCCACAAGAGTCCTACAAAAGTTTTCCGCAAGAGTGCCCCGCAAGACTGTCCGACAAGAGTGTCGCACAAGAGTGCCCCACAAGAGTGTCCCACAAAGTGTCCGACAAGAGTGTCTTACGAGAGTTTCTCACAAGAGCGACACACAAGGGCATGGGGTTCAAAAAGAATCTTTTATTGGGATCAAAAGAAAATTATTAACACCATCAAAAAGAAATTTCTATGAAGATCAAAAAACAGTAGACAGGATGGGAAGGAAGGAAGGAAGGAAAAGGCAGGAGGGAGGGAAGTTAGGAAGGAA